AGTCTTGAAGTTTAAATCTCCTCAGTGTGATAGATAGGCTTGCTTTGATCTGCTTAGCTCTTGAAAGCTCAGGGGCTCCGGGCTGCTGGCCCCGTGCTGCCCGGGGTTCCTAGGGACAGCTCTGTCCGCCATTAGGGATTTTTTTCCCAAGAACCCCCTGTAACATTTCGCGAACCCCCAGGGGTTCACAAACCCCCGTTTGGGAACCACTGCCCTAGAATGACTTGGTGTCTCAGCTGATGTGCATGTTTTAGCCACGAGGCAGTGCTGATCCCACATACTGACACTTTAGCCAGTGGAGGGCAGTAGCACACAACACACACACATTGCAGGAGGACAGCAGGCCCAATACAACTCCCATTATAGTCAAAGACGCCCATTGATTGCTGTGGATGTCGGATCAGGCTCAAACATCATGTTATTATCTAGATGCTCATTTGTATAACTAATGAATTAGCCACTGTTGCATTCTAAGGAACTTCTACTCTGATTCTGGACTGAGTTATAGCCTTATCTAGGAATTCCTGGCCTATTAGTGTTTTGTATCAGGTCACAAAATTAACGTCATTTAAAGGTAGGCTTTTTTCCATTTAATACTAACTGATCCACGGTGATGCTTTGTCCTAACTTTTGCTTCTGCTTCACTTCTACCAGCAGTTGTTTAAGAAGAAACTGAAGGGAAAAAAAAATTAACATCAACCTCAAGTGCCATAAGTTCTGTGAAAACCCTTTTGGATTAACTCTCCAAAAGAACACCTTGCCTAATGCAGAATGTTATTGCTTCACTTTGTACATTTTTTTCCCCTCCCCATTTTAAATCTTTTCTCTGAAAGATTAGTCATAAGCTGGTACTTCCTGCCACTTTTCACCCAGGGATTTTTGGCTGCCGGTGAGAGCTAACAGCCAATAAATGATGTATGAGCCATGATGACTCGATTGCTGCTGTTAGAAGCACTGTATCTTTCAACTGCAATCAGGGCACATTCCGGCTAGTTATCATTCTTAATTTTCCAAATAAGATGAACCTCTCCTCATCTAGTTGGGGGGGGGCTTGTTATTGCTTAGGCTTAGGAATTTGATGAGACTTTGAGTAGGAAGGAAGGATGGGTTTGGTATGAAGGATGCTCTAGTCTAGGGGATAAGGTGCTGCACTGGCATTCAGCAAACACATGTTTGAGTCCTAACTCTACCCCAGACTTTCTATAGAACCATGAATAAGTTCCCCATCTGTAATGTGGGGATAATATTTCTCTAAATCAATCGTAAGAATGAAATCCAGTGATGACTCTAAGGTGCTCAGAATGATGTGGGTCATTTAAGTAGCTAACTATATACCACTTATAGGGAAGTAGACTCCATAGAGCTTCTTTCTTCTCCACGTCCCAATCCTTTTAAATGCCCAGTTAATTACACTGCGGGACAGGTACAGTTGGTCTGTTTGTCATTATTAACCAGGTTACTTTTGAGAAATCTGGTATAACTGTCGACTAACAATCACAACCAGGAGGCAACATTTTAGAAGCTGCAATTTCCAGCTGATTTTTAGTATCAGAGGGGTAGCCGTGTTAGTCTGGATCTGTAAAAAGCAACAGAGAGTCCTGTGGCACCTTTAAGACTAACAGATGTATTGGAACATAAGCTTTCGTGGGTGAATGCCCACTTCGTCGGATGCATCTGACGAAGTGGGCATTCACTCACGAAAGCGTATGCTCCAATACATCTGTTAGTCTTAAAGGTGCCACAGGCCCCTCTGTTGCTTTTTACAGCTGATTTTTATTTTCCAAATAAGATGATTTGATCTTTACTCCACCCCATCATTCCTGCTGCCCTCCTCCCCCCTCCCTCCCCGCCAATCACCCAACTTGGCTTCTGGAAGGCAGTGTTTCTTGGCTATGACTAACAAGAAGCATTGATCAGGATTTTGGGGGGCTAAAGTTAAGCGCCTAAGTCCATGTTTAGGCTCCTAAATAAGTGGCCCTGCAGCAGCTGCTGGCTGTGCAGGCCTCTTAAAAACGAGCCATTGAATACGTGCTTCCACCATAGTATACACTTGGGATTTGCCCCAGTTGCAGCTGTCAGTGGGACCTGCACAAACCCAGAGTGGAGACAGGGAAACCACTGTAGGTTATCATTTACACCAGCTTGTTTCTGTTTCAATTATTCACTCAACCTCTGTACGCCAGTTTCCCCACCACTAACTTGAGGCTAGCACGTATTCAGAAGTGGTGAGAGTTCGTTAATGGTTATACTGCGCGTCGAAGATGCTTGTCTTGGCTAGAGCCCAGTCCTGCTCACAGCGATGCCAATGGCAAATCCCCCATTGACTTTAGTGGGAACGGATTTCGAATCCTTAGCTATTATGCCCTGCCATGTAAGTGTTCAGGGCTTTATTTACGCTAAGTATTACTACTGTGAGAAGTGTGGCACCTCAGTAAATAGCGTGTTTCTTTTCCTTGTAGTCCACCCTTGGATTTATTGCCCTGGTAGTCAGCACCCTACACACCCTCACCTTTGGATGGACAAGGGCCTTTGATGAAAACCAATACAAATTCTATCTGCCGCCAAGTTACACACTCACACTACTGGTGCCATGTACTGTGATCTTAGCGAAAATATTCTTCCATTTGCCCTGTATCCACCAGAGACTGCGGCGCATTCGCAACGGCTGGGAAAAGGGAAGGTACGTGAAATTCACACTGCCCAGTGCAACTGGTGAATATTCAAGCGGAGAAAGTTCCAGTAATGTGTAGCAGAGCCTCTCTTATTGATGGAGAATTTCAAAGCACTATGAAGATTTCTTGAGGTTTTTCCTAATTGTGTATGTTTGGTATAATTGCCTTGTGGGTTGATATTCATAGTTGGTGACTTTAGAAAAATCAGTTACTGTTAAATTAGTTTGCGCAGTAATATTTAAAATATATTGCTGATTTGCTAGCATGATTGTTGCCTTAAAAAATCATCATGACATTTGAGAGAGCAGCTGTAAATACATGTAGAAAACAAATGGAATTCTATGGGTCGTATTGGTCGATTGAGACAGTAGCTGGTGGTACTCTGTACTGACGCTTCTCTGTTGGGGCCCCAGCTGCTCTCTTTTTTAAATAGCAGGGGGGGCAATCCGTATCCCATATGATTATGAAGAAATCCTTCTGCATGTGACCTGATGGACCATCTGAATCTGCTGCTAAACCAAAACAATGGTTCTGAGCAGTGTGAGCAGTCCCTGGGGTTCTTCCACATGGGAAGTTGACTCTGAAGCTGAATGAGGGCAGTATAAATCTCAGCGCAAACTACTTAACTCCTGCCACCACAGCAGAAACATCCAGTGACTTGGAGAACTGTGGGATGTGTTTCCAAACCTGACCCCCGGACACAACAAATTGGATGGCATATCTCAGTATTCACGACTTTCTCAAATATGGACAGTGCATTTTTTGGTCTTGTAGATGTGGGCGATGCATGTGCATATTTGTACCGTTGGAAGAGTTGATTTATTTCCAAAGGTTATAATAGATTTTGAAGACAGCACTGTGCCTGAAGTGCATTTACACCTTAGCGTAATCTGCAGTGGTCATTGCGACCACAAGTTCTCAGCGATGTGAAACCAAAGTTTAGTGCATCCCCTACTGGAAGGAGTGTAAAGATAACCTCCAAAAGGACTCGCAGCTTCATGATATTGACTCTGGGCATTGGGGAAATGACAGCTGCCAGCTGAATTAGCAGTGAATAATGGGGCGACGCTGTTTGAAACTACTCTTATTAAACTCAAATCAATGTGCCCAACTACATCTACAACAACAACTATCAGGTGTATTTGTTTCACCACCAGCAATGACACATCTCCCTCTCTGTGACAGATCCAGTACCTCCAAAAAATGGGACTTTACATCTGTGAACATTCTCACAAAGGCTAAAACTCATCTGTCTCTGACCAAGTCTCAGTCATGGAATGGACACCAACGCAGCTACACATTATGGGCCTGATTCTCCAGCGCCTTGCACCTTCAAGAGTCATTTACTCAGCTACAAAGTGAGTATCATACACTGGCATCATACGCAGTTACATGCCGCCATGTGTATCATCTCTGGCACCCTGTGACCAACTCCACTCCCATGGCTTCCAGTTCTGAGCAATATTGCTCCTCCTCCTATCAGACAAGAGGTTACCACTGGCAGGTTACTGGAGAAAGTACACGCCAACTCAAGCCAGCCGCTGCACAATGACCTTTTCAAACCACCAGCTGCACGTTTGCCGTCACGTCACCCATTATGGTCTCATCTGCCATGTCAGGATGTTAGGGCGGAAACGTTCTGGTGAGAGGAATGGATATCTGTTATAATCCCCAACCAGTCCCTTGTCGCCAACCCCACAATTTGCCCGCTTGGTTTTGACCTGCCCCGTCGCCAATGGTCCCTGTTGAACAGGTTCCAGACCGGGCAAGGTCTCTGTGCAGCCAGCCAGTATCACTGGGGCCTTCGGGACAGCCCTTTGTGCAGCTGCAGCACAACACAAACAATGCCGCACATTGTCGAGGAATGCCTGCTGACTAGGGTCAAAGGTGGCTTAGAAGAACTGCATCACGCCACTGAAGATGCCAATCACTTGGCTAGATGACTATGCACACGCTCAATAAAAATACTAGCATCGCTTGGCAAAACTTCTCACTTACTTGGCACAGGGGTGAATGATGCCCACACTCTGTGCAAGGCAGTGGAGAATCAGACTCTATATTTGTTTTTCTTTATCACAACGATTGTTCAGACTGTCCACAGTCTAAATTAATACACCACTCTTGATTGAAAACAAACCAATGTCGTAGATGCTTTACAACACATACAAATCCACAGTCTTTGCCCCATAGAGATTACAACTTGTCTGTCTACGACGACTGACATACTTTACAACAGATCCTTTAAAAAGGAGAATCAAGAGGAAATAGCAGAATTACATCAAAGTATGATTCATAGATTCTAGGACTGGAAGGGACCTCGAGAGGTCATCGAGTCCAGTCCCCTGCCCGCATGGCAGGACCAAATACCATCTAGGTGATGTTAGGATCTGGTTGTAATAGCCTTGTTTCCTACAACGGAGTAAAGTACACAAGTTGCTGTTGGACAGTGCCTTGAAGATATGACAGGTGTCAATACCTGAATCACCCGAGAATTTTTAAAAGTTGCTGCTGATCAGAACTTGCTGTTCAGCCTTAAACTGTTGGGGAGAGTAGGACTTACAAGCTGTTACTAATAGTCCCCCGATGATATTCAGGTATTTCTGCTGTTGTGTAAGAATCACCCTGGAATCTCAAAACACCATGTCTTCCTGCTAAATAAAAGGAAATCAAGACAAGAGTCAGTGTGTTGGATTTCACAATCACATGATAATTCCTTCAATAAGAAGGGAGTTATTGTGTGTCCCTGTTGTGCCTTTCAGGGCAGGGAGAATTATCGAGAACCCCTCCATGCCCAGATCATTATCTGCTAACATTACTCACAAAGCAGATAGATTTGACAGTAATATGTGCAACTGAATGGCAAATTACAGCTTCTGCGAGAGGTCCGAGCCAAAATCACCTCTGGTGTAATTCCATCCACTTCAATTTAACTCCTGGAAGTGAATTTGAATTCAGTCCACTTACTCATTCCAGCCTCCTGCTGTATTTCATCATCAGGCAAAGCCAACATAAAATCACTAGTTTTCACATTTTCTGGCTAAGGTAAAGAATCCTGATTCTGATGCTTATTCTCACATCTGTGCTTCCTCTCACTCCTCTGCAGCAGGCAACCTGGTAGACTGCTACACTGTTAGCAAAAAAAGAGGAGAGGGAGAGAAAGTTGCATGAGTCTTAGGTATCAGAGGGGTAGCCGTGTTAGTCTGAATCTGTAAAAAGCAACAGAGGGTCCTGTGGCACCTTTAAGACTAACAGAAGTATTGGGAGCATAAGCTTTCGTGGGTAAGAACCTCACTTCTTCAGATGCAAAGCCTTAGGCTTTGTCTTCAGTGTGTGTTTAAAAAAAACAAAAAAACTTTTTTTTTATATCAAGATAACTTTTGCACTGAGACATAGAGTTGACATCAACAGGACCACTCACAGAGCAAGAAGTGGTAGGGCTGAACCTGTAGAGTCAGGGGTAGTCAATAGGTGGGCCGTGGGCCAAATCCGGACCACCAGTCACTTTTGATTGAACCCCAAAATATTTGTATTTACTTATTATCATTATTGTTGGGTTTCTTATTATTTTCTTTGGAGTCTGGATCTTGCCTATACCTTGACCAAGAAATTTGGACCTTGACAAAAAATAAAATTGACTACCCCGGGACCAATTTCTCTACCTACAGAACGCAAGTCCTAACTCGTGCAACTTTCAGAATGGCTCTACCCTTTGGGGTCTATATCCTAAATCCTTGATACTAAAATTTTGAATAATTTATTCTGACTTTGTAGAAATAATTTTTAAAAAGTGTTAAGAAAACTTTGGAAATGCTCTTTGCCTTTTTAACTTCTTTCCCCACTGCATTATTTGATGTAGCTAGGGGGTTGAGGAATGTTAGCTTAAACATTTCCTGGTTACTGTTATTACTTTTGTACTTGGTGTTTGTATATTTGTTGCAAGATTTATAGCTGAAATGGCAAGCTGTTTGTATTTTTATTTTCTGTTTTGCTTACTTTGTGGCTTTGGGGTATAAGAACCTATTGTAAAGCTGTGAGAACAGGGCCAGTTTTAATCCTCTTTCATCGTTGGCCTCTTAGTCTTACAATTATAGCTCTATAAAGCTAGAATGAATGTGCCTGTATAATGGCATCATTACTCACTCATTCTTGTGTGCTGTCTCTTTTTCTATAGACAATACAATGTTAATCTAAAGTATCTTTCTATTAAATAAAGCTATCAATAAAGCCACGTGATTGTCCAGGATTTAAATGTGAGAAACAAAACCCACTAACGTAAGCAGCTGGTATTTGCTGTTGTGATGGGAGAAGATACTACCTAGAAGGACCAATGCTCTGATAGACTTGTCAGTTCTATGTCATATGAGTGGAAGAGGGAATATTCCACATATTTGCATTAGTTACAGCTGCAAGAGATATTTAATTATGCAGGCCTTTGTGGGTGCTGACCATGGATATTGTACAAGCTGTTGCAGTTCGGGAATAGCAGAGCTTACTTCAGTAAGCAAAAGGTTGCCTTAATATAGAGCTAAAGAAGAAGGGGACAATGGATGAGTTTAGTGAGAGTGGAAAGATGCAATCTTTAACACTGTCTCTTTGGCCTCAGTTCCTTTAGTCACTACCTCAAGGAAGTGGGATAACAGATCCACCACTTCTAGATCCGCAGTGTAGCATTTTAATGAGCTAGTTTGTAAATTGATTTTAATGAGTTAATTTAAATTCCTGTGCTAATGTTTAGCCTCTGCAGGTACGGCTCTCTGACGCCTTCCTTATTATACAGGGCTTTTAGCAATGTGTTTGGTCTCCTGCTCTTCAGGGATTTACTTACAAAGTGATTTATTAAACTATGGTTAAATCTTAAGGGGGATGCAATTGCTTGAAAACTGCTATAAGGTGTATTTCATAAAATCTCTCCAAGTCACCAAGAAGACTAGCACAGGTATACTAGCTGTTACAGCTGAAAGTTTTGTCACTGTTTGTGTATTCTGTATCGCAAAATTTCATGCATCAAGTTAGTGGAATCTGTAGATTGTGCCTTAGCTTTGAAACAATGGATTTGTTACACTAAAGAGGTTTGGTTCAATTTATTGTTTAGTGAGTGACAGTTTTGCAGAACTCCTATACAGACTAGTTTCCCACTGCCAAGAACTTATGTGAAACTCAGAGCCAGATAATTTAAATTAAACATGTGATGTACAATATGTGGGTACAATATAACCTTATTTGCAGTTCTTGTTCATGGAGCAAATTAATCACTTTTCATAGATGTAGGGCTAGCAAGGATCATTATGACAATCTAAGTTGACCTGTATAGTATTGGCCATGTCATTTGATGATTCCTGCAACAAACCCAATGACTTGTAATTGACCTAGAGCATCTCTCTTAGACAGATGTCCACTCTTGATTTAAGGACAGCAAGTGATGGAGGATCTACCATGTCCAGCTGTTCCACTGGTTAGTTACCCTCACTGTTAAAAATATTTGCCTTTGCCCCTGATTTGAGTTTATCTAGCTTCAACTTCTAGTCAAAATCAGCTGTTATGCTTCTGTCTCCTGGATTAAAGAGTCATCTACTACCAAATATTTGCTCTTAAATAGATGTCTCATTCAGTACCCTAGAGGCAGTAGTAGGAAAGCAGATGCTAGAAGAGAGCCAGATGTGCTTTCTGCTAAGCCAGATTCCCCCTGATAAAATAGAAAAAGAAAATGAGAGGCTCAGCTAACACTAATGACTTATAGGGGGGGGGTCTTCCTCTCTACACCACTTGTTTAACTCTGGATGAAGTCATTGACTAAAGACCATTGATCTGATTTAGTTCATGCCGGCTAGACGGTCGTTGAGCCTGAGGCTTGACTGCACACCAATGTGGGAATAGCCCAATACTTGACATGTTAAAGTTAAGGCCATTCAAGCAAAGGGGCTTCCTGATCTGGCCTCTTAAGCAGCACATGTGGAGTACAGAACAGGAGAAATATATCTGCCTTGGGCATGTTTTCCCAGCTCACTTGCACCCTCATCCCTATAGACCCTATAGGTGCAGATAACAACGTTGGCCAAATTAGACCCAAGTGTGATGTAAAATGAGAGCCTACAAGCAGCTCTCAGAGGATAGGGAAACTTTCAGCTGTGCAGCACTACATGCCGCATCTGGCAGAATGTGAGGCCTAGGGACAAATGCAGAGATGAGTCTAAGTTGATATACTTTGCACCTTCTTCTGGTCTCTTTGGTGTAGCCACAACCAACTTAGATTTGCATCCAATTTACACTCCAACCCCCACCCCTCTGAATTTGGCCCCTACATTATAAAGGAATTGATTTCTGTAAATCAGGACTTGCCCTAAGATTCAACCCACCAATGGCTCATGAGGGGAAGCCTGCTGGGCTGCACCCCATGGATTGCTGGTGGGGTGAAGCAAAATCATGTGGGTTCTAGGGTGCAACAGAGGGTGTAGGAAGATATGAAAAGTTCCACTTTTTCTGCTGTCCCTCTCTGCTTTATCCCTAACCCAATCTCACATCTGCTCCTCAGTCTTCTCCTTCCTTCCCAGCTCTTGGGAGAGCTGTGTTTCACGTGACAACAGGGCCAGGCCACCACACTCTTGAAGCAAGTCTGCTGCTGGGGGAATAGAGAACACACACCCATCCTCCTCACCTCCCCATTGGCACCACCAGCAACCCACCCATCACATTCCCCTATTACCTCATTTTTACATTGGGGTGATTGATATAAAATGAAATTTGACAAGTTATTATGCATCCATAATGAGAACTAAATGGCCTAGGACAATTTTTTGCTTATGCACAAAAAAGGTTGAAAATCCTTGGAGTAATTTCCACAGTATGAGACTCCAGAAGAGAGGAGTAAAGCAAGAGAAACAAAACTGGAAGATTTAAGGAAAAAACATCACACAGACCAGCCCGCACCCACACTTCAACTTTACTTTCTTTCATCTCCTCTGTAGCCAGCCTTCCACTGGTAAGTTAATACATATAGATAGATGGGAGACTAAGGGCTGGTCCACACTAACCCCCCAGTTTGAACTAAGATACGCAACTTCAGCTACGTGAATAACGTAGCTGAAGTCGAAGTATCTTAGTTTGAAATACAAGGTACTTACCGCGGGTCCACACGTGGCAGGCAGGCTCCCCAGTCGACTGCGCGTACTCCTCTCGTGGAGCAGGAGTACCGGTGTCGACGGCGAGCACTTCCGGGATCGATTTATTGCGTCTAGACAAGACGCGATAAATCGATCCCAGAAGATCGATTGCTTACCGCCGAACCCGGAGGTAAGTATAGACGTACCCTAACTGTAAGGAAGTCCATTACACCCCCTTATGCACCACTTGTTGCCCATTATCTGGGCATAATCTATGTGAACCTCAGCCATGATAGATGAGTGAATCAATTCACAACGCTGCAGCCTGTCACCTCTGTGCACTGGAATTCACATCCCACCTGAGTTGATCAAAGCTCAGATGTGATGACCTGGAAGACACAATGCAAGATTCCCCTTTTTTCGCTGCACAGGGGGGACTAACGGGAGGGCAGGGTGGAGGGCATTAAGATAATGTGTGTGTTCTGGCTTATGTTGTATTGCTGAAGTTTTAGTGAAGGATTTTGCATGTATGTTTGTGTTTGCTCTGGGTGCTTCACCTTGAAGTTAAGACCGACTTATTTTAAAGCTAGATAAATATGCCTCAGCAAACTAAAACTGGTATTTTCCAGACAACACACCAAATGACTGATATGGGGAGATTAACATCCAGGCTGTGCAAAGGTTTAGACACGCTGGAACTGGCTATGCGAAGAATGCTCTTCATCTAACAGGATGAATTTAAGATTTGACACCAGCGTTTTGACTTCAATTTAAAATGCAACACTGTCTGCAAGGAAAGCATCTGCGCTCGGCCCCAGAGAGCTAGCACAGGCTCTGCAAGTTAAACTAGTTCACAGAGAACTGTTCTTCACAAATGCTAAATATTTCCTTGCTCATGCAGGCTTTGGAATACTGAAGAACAGGCTGTGCTGACACCTGCTGGCTTTCTCTTCAGACAAAGATACTTCACGCGAGTAGCTCTTGGGCTTTGTTATAGTTCTCCCCACTCACTGCACACAACTCTATGGTGAAACTACATTTCTGTTTAAACCAAGAAGTGGACAGGGTTATGTTATGCGTGATTTTCTGAGAACCTGTTTCAGAAGGAGCCTTTGACACTCTCCTCATTCAGGTCACGGCTGGGACATAGCTTCTGTTTCGGGAAGGGCACGCATCCCTTAATGGGTGCAAAAAAGAGTTGTGCACCACTAGAGTGAGCCTTTGCTGTCCCAGCTGTGCAGCAAATGCTGCATCCATGAAAACCTGCTGCAGTGAAGACGTGGGGGTGGGGGTTGGCAAGAAGGGAAGAGAAGAAAAGCACAAGGAAGGGATGAATGGATTGAGCTAGAAAAGGGGAAGGCTTGACAAGTTACCTTATCTAAGGTAGGAAACAACCAGTCCAGTGCCACAAAGAACAGCAAAAAGAAGTCTCACCTCTCCTGCCCCTCTTTACTAGACTCATTCATAATTGGAAAGTCTATGTGCAGAAGTCCAGCAAAAAGAAATAATGGGGAAAAGATCTGGTCTCAAAGAAAAGCAGAGCCCTTCCTGAAACTCTGCCAGACAATATATAAAGAGGGGCAAGGTGGGGGAGGTAGTAGCTTTTTGGACCAACTTCTGTTGGTGAGACATCGCTTTTAAGCCATACCGAGCTCTTCTTCAGGTCTGGGAAACTTAGGCTATGTCTACACTACCATTTATGTCGTATAACTTATATCACGCAGGGGTGTGACTAAAACACACCCCACCGCCACTCGGTGGGGGGTGGAGTAATTATGCCGACAAGAGAGCTTTCTCCCATCATTGGCGCAGAGCAGCTACACCAGAGATCTTACAGCGGCGCAGCTGCATTGGATAGCTATGCCACTGTAAACTCTAGGGTAGATACCGAGTGTCACAGCTAAATACGAGGTGGAGCAGACTCGTTTAGCATGAGTAGTTAACACATATTGTAAGAGACCATTCAAGGTGAATTGGCCTATTAACACCTCCAGTCCTAGGGAGGATAGGGGGAGGCAATAGCTGTGCGGTAGCTGTTAGTGGGTTATAGATTGTTGTTATAAGCCATAAAGCCAGTGTAGACAGACACACAACTTTTGCATTTCTATGTCATTTAAGGGCTGGTCTACGC